CGGTTCTATGGAAGCTACAGTAGCGCAATGGCTAGCACACTAGACACCTGACTCGGTGGTGGCAAAATCCAACCAGTACGGTTCTATGGAAGCTACAGTAGCGCAATGGCTAGCACACTAGACACCTGACTCGGTGGTGGCAAAATCCAACCAGTACGGTTCTATGGAAGCTACAGTAGCGCAATGGCTAGCACACTAGACACCTGACTCGTTGGTGGCAAAATCCAACCAGTACGGTTCTATGGAAGCTACAGTAGCGCAATGGCTAGCACACTAGACACCTGACTCGGTGGTGGCAAAATCCAACCAGTACGGTTCTATGGAAGCTACAGTAGCGCAATGGCTAGCACACTAGACACCTGACCCGGTGGTGGCAAAATCCAACCAGTACGGTTCTATGGAAGCTACAGTAGCGCAATGGCTAGCACACTAGACACCTGACTCGGTGGTGGCAAAATCCAACCAGGAATTTAAAAAAACAAAATGCTGAAAATATAGAAAACTAGCTGTACCCGGCCACGCGTTGCTGTGGCCCAGAATGGTGAAATGGAAAAGGAAAGAAAATAGCTTTCAGCTAACAGTGTCTGTCATACTCCCCCCCCCCCCCCTCCTCTTCCCTCGACGCAATCATATCTCCCTCTCTGAAGGATTTAAAAGACATCCATTGCGAAATTATTAAAATAGAAATAGTTAAGAAATAAGAACTTTAAAATAATATTTTAAGCTCTCTCAGCTAACTGTTTTGGGCATAACCCCCCTCCCCCCCACCCCCCCTTTTTCCCCTTTCCACCAATTATATTTCCCTCTCCGGAGGATTGAAAAATCATCACCTGGCGAAATTATTAAAATATAAATAGTTAAGAAATGAGAACATTAAAATAATATTTTAAGCTCTCTCAGCTAACGGTGTCTGGCATACCCCCTCTAACCCCCTCCCACTCCCCCAATCATATCTCGCCCTCTTAAAGATTGAAAAATAATCACCTGGCGAAGTCATATCTCCCTCTCCGAAGGACTGAAAAATCATCCATGGCGAAATTATTAAAATAGAAATAGTTAAGAAAAGAGAACTTTAAAATAATATTTTAAGCTCTCTCAGCTAACTGTGTCTTGCCCCCCCCCCCCCCCCCCCCCCCCCCCCCCCCCCCCCCCCCCCCCCCCCCCCCGTTCTCCCAATCATATCATCTTCTCCGAAGGATGGGAAAGTCACCGTGTAACGAATATTGTAACTAAATTAACCTTTGCATCGTGTCCACCCAGACTTAAATAGGTAGCATTAACTTGTACAGAGAAGTAAATGTAGCCGTGTAACAGCTACCACATCACCCATCCAGTACCAGTACTACTGCAACCACAATCACCACCACCATCACAACAACAACAACAACAAAAACTGTCACTAAAGTCTGTGTAGGTCGATGTAGAAAAGAGGAGTTAGCGCCGCATGCTGTCGCCACGAACTATTTAGTTTAATTTTGCCCAGGACATAGAAAAAAAAACACTTCACCAGTTACCAGTGATGGAACCCACAGTGAAAAGTACACTATACTCACGAATAGCGGAGAAAAATACCCGCACCCGTCATCTCTCCCTCTCCGAGGGAACGATTTTTAACTGACCTCGGCATTCGTGTCCACCCACACTAAACTGGACTGTAAGCCGTCTTAGTTAACAGTTTCTGTTATCGCCGAATAGTTTTTGATTGAGAAGCGTCGCGGGAAGGCTAATTAGGACTTAACTGAAATCGGATGTCTCTGGGCGAAAGGCGCAGATATCGCTGCCTAGCTGTAAACCACAGCGTGAAGGATGACATACTTACAACTATACTGAAGAGTTTAGGTCAGATATCGCAGCCTAGCTGTAAAGCACAACACAAAGTGCCAACGGCCCTCTCGAGGGCGAACGAAGATTACCCGTGACACGACCATTGAGGATCTAGTCGCCGCTGACGCAGGCTAGATGTAAACCCCAAAACCGAAAAAGGTGTAAATATCGCAGCTTAGCCATAAACCACAACACAACGTGCCAGCCGCCCAGATAAGGGCTAAAAAGAAATTTATATCACCTAGCGGGGAATCGAACGCGGATCACCTGCATGACAGGCAGAATAGTTCCCAACTACGCTACCAAACACTCAAACAAATAGTGGAAATGAGATTATATAATAATGCAAAGTTCAATAAGAGCTCAGCAGTCAAATATGGCCGATAAACTAAAAAGAAATCCGGGCCGGCAACGAAACAAATAATGATTTGACCGTTGCTGGAGCTACGTCGTTCGTGGTTTGTGCGATTTTCTGACAAAAAAAATCACCTTTGGGGTCAAAGGCAACGTTGTGTGCACATTTGAAAGCAATCGGTTCAGTAGTTTCCGAGTTTTCAGCTAACAACATCGGAAGATTAACATTTTTATTAATACAGATGTGTGAAAGTAACATTTCCCAGGCAGGTACATTAGACTGACGGCTGAACTGGGAGGAAAGTTCGACTGGTGGATGGTCACAGCACATAATTGTCTGATTCAGAAGCTACTACAACATGCTTTATTTAAACTTATTGGCGTAGAATTGTCTTTGAATTAAACAGGGCAGGTGGAAATAGGGATGGAGTTGCATAGGCAGCATAAGTAATCTATAATTCTGCACTGGCTTTATGCTAACGAGAGGAGGAACCTCATCCCGAACCTCCATGGGCTGTGATGGCCAGTGGCTCAGGAAGGAGGCTGTGGGTGGAGAGGCACGTCACCACTAATGGTTAAAAAAAAAAATAAAAACAGAGGAGAAAAAAAAGGGCAAAAAAAAGGGGGGGGGGGGGGTTACAATATTACAATTTTTTTTTTTGCTTGAAAAAATAAAATGTGGTTGTGGGAGTGTTTACAGGTAATTGTCTGCACCGGGTACCTGCTGACCTTGTTACACAACTGCCTACAGCACGATGTGACTCTATCGTCTGGAAAACTATCAACATCAACAGTTTTAGGAAGTAAAGATGAGCGATCTAGTTCATCACTTATCGAGATCTAGCACGTGCCAGTGTAAAGAAGGACACAGGACATAAAAGATACCTCAGACCTGAACATGTGAGGTGGAGTGGAGCCACCCGTCTGCTGTAATTTGGGAACCTCGATTAAAGACCAACTTATAAATTACAGCGTCTCCTTATATATGCCACGTGCAACAACAATACAGCGTTCTATGACACATGCCTTGTACCTTTATGTTAACAACAGAACATAAGCATAGCTGTTTATAAAATCAGCCCTGTTTCTCTAGCGTGTTTGAATACAAGCGCATTCACCAGAGGAACACAACAAGCATAAAGCAGAACGGGCGTCGTCGGGTGTGGAAATTACCCAGCAATAGTAGTCGATAATAAGTAATCGCGCTGCCCGATATCTTGTCCGAGCTATGATCAGGGAGAGCCCGCTTTGGAAGGCAAACGTCGTCGCGATGAGTCTGCAGGGAAATGAACGGGTCGAGCCAGTCATGATGCTGTTAAATGAGAAAATCTTCACACCCCACACAAGCTTGGGACTTCCAGAGCTACACTGTATCCATAAGAGTAATTTACAAGCGGGGTCTACAGAGATTTGTACTCCGAGTATTTTCCTCCTGCCATTTTTGCTGGCCGGAGAAGAAAGTTGATTTGATTATTTATGACCGAGATAGTGATAGCTCTAGCCAAAGATGAGGACACTTTGATTGCGGGGTTAGAAAATACATCATCACACACACGACAAGTTGGTTTAGATATTTCAGACTGCACATTTTCCAGAGTACGGGTGTCGTTCTCTATTTTCATTTCTTGCATCAATAATACCACTTGCACAGACACATTTGGTAAATTAGCTTGGTTTTATCTGCTATTTATCCGGTACACTCTGGATGTCTGCTGTTTGAAGAAGATTTATGTTATGTCCTAACGTACGTCTGTGAAAGTATACATTGTAGATATTATACATTGTAGATATTCTGTTTCACTACTGTCTTCTGTCAGGTCTTCGTAGACAAAGTACAACACTTTCGACACCAATTACACGAAGATATACATTTTTTGCAAAACATAGTCCTGTTGTAATATTGTTATCATTACATTTGCTAGTCAGTTTAAATATTTTCGTGTTCACATTGAAACAATCATTTGTGTAGGCTCCCTGTATGGGTTCCGGGGCCCAATTGTGGGGGAAACAAGAATAGAGCCACTGTCTCCTCAAAAGCATGTCGAAGTCAGAGTACATCTGCCTAAGAGGCAGGAAACCAACAGTCTGCATGCCTATGAGTCAGACCTGTAAAACGGATGTGCATGCAACAATCAGTTTCTGGAACAGGTCCAGAAGTGGACGAACAACCAGAACTTTCCGCCGGAGTTAACAGCCGGTGAACTCGAAAGAGAAAGAAGATTTGTGTAGGCGCCGTCTCCACAATAAAGGATGACTACCACGAATCTTCAACGCGCTCCGTGCCTCGTCGTAGTTATACAATCTTCCGGACTGCTGTTTTTCTAAAACATCGTGTTGTCCTCCCATTTACACCGGCGTCTAACTTTTGCTCTCTTGGCCTAAATTTTCACTTCCGGTAAGCGTTTCAAAGAGTGTTATGTAAAAACACACACGTCCCACATATTGCGAGAGGGGAGCGCTGGGTTGCTTTCCAACGCCCTCTAAATGATAAGCAAATAATTTGTATATACCGGTAGAACTAAACCTGTCTTGTTTAAGTTTCTATTAGAAATTGTATTAGCAACTCCGTTTGCAACTCTTTTAGCACCTCTATTAGCAGCTATGTTATCAACTATGCTAGCAACTATATTAGTAACTCTGTGAGCAACTATATTAGCAACTTTATTAGTTACTTTATTAGCAATTCTGTTAAACAATTTTATTAGCAAGTATGTTAGCAACTCTGTTGGCAACTCTACTAGCATCTCTATTCTTCTTAAAATGTGAATCCTTTACAGAAAGTCGCAAAACCAGCCCCAGCATTTTTTGCTGTTGTGGTTTTCCTAGGCAAATTTCACGTCCAGTTGTTTGCCATTGCTTTTTTTGGACAGTCGGCTTCTCGATACTACTGTTAAAGCCAAAGCAAAGCGCAGGGCTGAGATTGAACCCGGCAGGGCTGAGATTGAACCCGGCTGGGCTGAGATTGAACCCGGCTGGGCTGAGATTGAACCCGGCTGGGCTGAGATTGAACCCGGCTGGGCTGAGATTGGACCCGGCTGGGCTGAGATTGAACCCGGCAGGGCTGAGATTGAACCCGGCTGGGCTGAGATTGATCCAGGCTGGGCTGAGATTGAACCCGGCAGGGCTGAGATTGAACCCGGCAGGGCTGAGATTGAACCCGGCAGGGCTGAGATTGAACCCGGCTGGGCTGAGATTGAACCCGGCTGGGCTGAGATTGAACCCAGGAGGGCTGAGATTGAACCCGGCAGGGCTGAGATTGAACCCGGCAGGGCTGAGATTGAACCCGGCAGGGCTGAGATTGAACCCGGCAGGGCTGAGATT